ATAATTCCATTAACTTAATTAAAAAAATAAAAATAAAACATCTCCATATTCCCTAAGCTATTTCTCTATTTTAATCATGCACTCTAATCTTAATTTTAAATTTTTAATTCACCTGCAACTATATTCTCTCATAATTGGTTTGTGCCTTTACTTTTAAAATCCTAAATTTCTAATTTATTTTTAAAATAATCTTATGATTTTCCTAACTAAGTTTTAAATAAGTATTATTTTAAAAACCTTAACCAATATAATAAAATTAGTTTTAATATTCAACTATTCTTAAATATTTGGTTTAAAAGTTTTAAAATTTTATTTTGAATGCTTGTAATCAATTTTAGTAATATTTATATTAATGTTATTCACTTTTAACAGGATTTAGAAAATGAGATTAAATTATTAATGTATTAAAAAAATTAATTTTAACCTTCAAGAATTATTTATGTTATGCTAGAAATTTGAAGTTTTTTTTTTATTATTTTTTGTGCTTCTAGTGATATAATCAAGAAGAATTTTCAAAATTTTTTAATTTTTACAAATGTAAAGGAATATAATAATTCGTTTATAATTTTTACCTTTTATTATGTTTTTACTGATTTAGATATTAATATATTTTATAGTTATACTTTTTATTTGATATTAAAATATTTTTATATTATCTTATATATTTATTAATGTTAAAAACTGATTAATCCGATCGAACCACACCAATCCAATTTAAATTGGATTGATTTGGTTATCACATAATAATGGATTAGATTAATAGATTAGATTAATTCAAAAATTTTATTAATGGATTAAATTAGATTAATTTAAAAAATAGTAAAATTCAAATCAAGTCACACCCGCGCCAACACCTCTACTAATAGTTATAGAATTTATAACAAATAAATTATCTTTTCATTCATGATTGATCTCTTTTATGATTTGATTTTTTTTTATTTATAAAAAAGTTATTATTGTTTCTTCTTTTTTTTTTTTTTTTAATAAGTTTTTTAATTTTTTTTTTTTTTTTTTTTTTTTTTTTTTTTTTTTTTTTTTTTTTTTTTCTTTTCTCCTTTTTTGTTGGGGGGATGTAGTGGGTGGATTGGAGTTTTGAGATATCATTTTGATTCTG